CGGTACGGGGGCAACACTGAGGGTTGCGATCCGTTGCCGGACATGGAAAAAAACAAAAAAAAAAAAAAAAAAAAGAAAGTGTAGCCTGTGAATTTTGTACCCAAGATGACAACTGGGTACAAATTTCTGCAAACGGGGCACTGGCCCTGCTAACCAGGGACTGGTCTCATGAACCAGACCCTGTCCCCAGTCACAAGGCCCTGAGGTGTAGTCAGTGAGGGGCTAGGCCACAGAGCAGAATGGAAACCTATGTCCCGTCCACATCAGCCCAGATCACTACACGTGGGGCTGGGAAGGGCAGAGGGGAGGAGGGCGCTCTGCTGCCGGTGTGTCCTTCTGATGAAGAGGAGGGTGTCACAGTCCCATGAAGCACTCCTGACGGCAGCTGGTCACCTCACCCTAGCCATGCCACTTCTAACTCTCTCTGAAGAGACCCACATACCACTTTTAAACGTGCCACAGCCCGCAGAGGGCAGGGCATACTTACAGGAGCTGGCGTCTCTGGGCTGTGCTCATGCGGCTGAGCTCGGTAGGCCTGGGCTGGCTATACCCCCTGCTGTGGACACAGAGAAGCCCGGTCAGTCCCATGCCTTACTTCACTCGGGACCGTTCCCCCTCCCTCCTCAGAGCAGCCGTCACAGCATCCCGAGGGGACCCAACCTCTACAAAACCAAGTGCAGCACTCTGGCTGCGGGAGCTGGGCTTGGATGAGCCAAGTAACTGCCCAATGGTCCCCTGACTGCTATATCCGGAGCTGGACGTCCACAGCATGTGGGACCCTCTCAACCTCTGGTGGCTCCCGTGTGAAAAGGAGGGAATGACAGGCCAGGACTACCAGATGACCAGGGTTCCACAACATGCACACCGAAGCCTCCCACCCCATCTGGGAGGTGGCCTCACACTGCAGTCCCCGCAGCCTGGCGCTTGGGCAGAACTGACCCCGCCAGGGCAGAGCTGCTGCTGCTCTGAGAGCAAAGACCCACAAGCTACCACCACCTGCCAATTCTCTTCTAACTTTTCTCTTAAGAAACAGGAAAGAGCACCAGGTTTGTCTGAAGGTGGGGTGCTGCATCTGCCACTTGGATGACTGACATCAGAAGCTGGGGACAGAAACTCCACGCAGACTCTGCCTTGCTGCACTGCTGAGGACACCAGTGAGCGCCAAGGGCATCTGCACAGGTGGGCTGTCCACCAGCCGCTATGCCAGGGCACCACATGGCGCTGTTACCGGCTGCTCGTTCCTGGGATCTGCCCAACCACCATGCTGGGCCTTGATCCAGGGGAGGCGGCAGGACACCCTGGCCAGTTCCACACAACATGATCCAGATGGGCTCTCAGGTCACCCTGGACCCGCTCACTGTGCAGGTGACCTGTGAGAACCTTCACGAGTGCGTGGCCTCTCTACAGACAGCGCCAGCCAAGGCAGCCCTGCACCTCTGGCCAACAGTCAGACGATGCTGGGCCTTGGCAGGAAGAGCAACTTGGGGAGCAGCCACGCCAGACTTCCTGCCCGTGGAGTCGCTGCCTGACCTGACGACAGACACCAGGTGGAGGCACAGAAGCCATATGGCGGACATGGGACCCAGAAGACAAGCAGAAAGGACAGAGACCCACTCAGAGACCTCAGGCCAATACCTAAATTTAGTTTCCAGATCGGGAGACCTGATCTTTTATTCATGTTTTTTTTAAAATATGAATGAACAACGTTTTGTGTCTACTCAAAATAGCGCCTGCCCTCCCACCTTCCCCTAACCATCTTCCGTGGGCTGATGTGGGAAAGGGCCCCCAGCCTGGATTCCATTCCCGCTCCAGCCTGCTGGCTGAGGGGAGCCCTGTGTCTCCCATGCCCCTCTGCTCGCTCAGAGCCGCAGCTCTCAGTCAATGCCAGAGGCTCGCCCTCCCTAGGCTCTGCCACTCTCGTCAGCTGACCCCTCCTCTCCCTGAGCTGCTGGCCCCCCCCGTGAAGCAGCAGTCGGCACAGGGCTTCCTTCCTGCAGGCAGCACCCCAGCTCTGGTGCCAGGAGGTCAGGAGACTCGGCCTGGGTCCAGGGAAGCCTTCCCATTCGGCCCCCCCGTGAAGCAGCAGTCGGCACAGGGCTTCCTTCCTGCAGGCAGCAACCCAGCTCTGGTGCCAGGAGGTCAGGAGACTCGGCCTGGGTCCAGGGAAGCCTTCCCATTCGGGGGGACCTTGGTGGATCTCCCTGCCCATCTGTAAAGAGGTGAAAGGGCAGATGGAGCTGGACCAATACCCCCAAGGTCCAAAGGCAGCGCAGTCACATCCAAGAGCCACACCCTCCTGGCCTCCCAGATGGGACACAGCTCTCCCTGAACAGGGCTTCGCAAGAGCTAATGGTACTTGGACAAAGTGCTCAGTGTTAATGTCACAGGCCCAGGTGAACCCTGAGGGTCAGCATCCTCTGTGACGTGACTTCCCAGGAGTGGGGATGGGAAACCACTAAGGAGGAATCAAACCCAGGCCTCGGCCTTGCACCAGAACAGGTGGAGAAAAGTCAACAGGGTCGGGAGACAGGGAGCAAGGACTCTGAACCCTGATGGGAAAGTGTCCCCCTCTCCCCAAGTAGCACTCCTGTGAGTGACTGCCCACACAGTGGAAGCAAGGATGCCAAGGCCTGAAGCTCAAGAGGCCACTGAGGTCAAGCATTGCTGGGACACCTACTTATACAACAGGACCCAAACACGTGCCTGTACTCATGGCCTTGGTGTCCCATACAACAGGGATGGGGGCTTTGGGGCAGGCCAGGGCAAAGACCCCAGGAAGCCCCTCAAGTCCTGTTCCTGGGCCCACTGTGTGGCTGCTGTGAGGACCGGCTCTGCCAGCCCAAGCCAGAGAGCTCCCTGCTTCAGTGTGACATGTGCCAGGCAGGTCGGGCTGGAGCCCTGAGAAGGGTCTGTGAGCTGCTCCTGTGCTGCGTCCACCCCAGCCTACAGGTGCACTGAGGCGTGGCCAAAGCGGCCGGGCCTTGTCAGATCCCTGGCATGGGCTGGCTGTGTCTCTACCCCACTGGCCTGGTGGCTCCCCTGCATGAAGCTTTCCTGACTCGTTCACTAGAAATGAAAAACCTGCCAGACCCTGTGAGGCTCTTCTGCCCACAGAAGGGACAACCTGGAGAACCTACTCTCTCCCTGACAAGCAGGTCCACTGGCAGCAGCACTGTCCACACCCAACTCCAGTGTCAGAATCCCCCGTGGACATGAATCTCCAGAATCCCCAGTTGTGCATGAGGCCCCAGGGACCTGCTGGGCAGTACAGAGCCTCAGGCTCCAATTGCCCCGAGAGGCCAATGTCGCTGGGCCACGGTGACTCTGTAGTCACAGGCTATCCCCATGCCATGCCCTTTCCAACTCTGAATCCAGGACCCTCCTGGTAGGGGTGGTGGCAGCAGAAACACCACTCAGCAACCTGTGTGTCCCGAGAAGTCACCACCTGGGGTGGTGCAGTGTTAGACGAAACAGTGTTCTCCTCACTACAAGGAATCTGCCTGGTGACAGCATCAATGCCAAAGACCATTTGAGGCTCCAAACACGTGATTAATAAACACTTGAGGGCCAGGCCCTGGTTGTGGAGCTGTGAGGCCATGAAGTAATGACCACAAGGGACCCCAAACTTTTGGAACAGTGCTGGGCAGTCAGGCATCAGCAGGCCAGGAGGCCCGACGGGGTACAGGAGTGGAGCTCAGGGACCAAAGGCAAAGCCCGCCGCCTGCCCAGGGAACAGTGCTCAGTGCACACGGTCACACGAGGAGGCCAGGAAAGTAGCACTGTCCTGACCCCAGGAGAGGGAACAAGTGGAAGCCCTGCAACTGGGCCCTCCCCAGGCTGTGCCTAGGTGTCTCCTCTCTCGGCTGATTCCAGTCTGTCCTCTGCTGGGATGAACCACAAGCATGAACGCAGCAGCCTGCAAGTCCTTCCAAAGAAGCATCAAGCCCAAGAGGGAGTGGTCTGGGGACCCCACACTTGTAGCTGGTGTAAGACGCAAGCATGGCCTTGAACCTGGTCCCCTAATGTTGCGTGCATGGACACAGGTCAGCGCTCACAAGCGTGTTTCTTTGCTGTCTGCTGAGGTGACCTAGAAGCATCCAGCACACCCAGCACCGGATCCTGGTGTCTAACACGCTTCTCAATGCAGGGAACCAGGGCTCTTTGGAGAAATGGCTGGTTCTAGGGCTGGGCCTGGAAATGCCCAAGATGAGCCTGGAGTACCAGCTAGTGCTAGGAAGTAAGGAGGTGCTCAGAAACAACACATAACCCCCCACATTGATGGGGCACATCACTCCAACCCAGGAACCAACTGAAAGAGCTCCCGATGGCCAACGCTGGAACAGTTTCAGCAACAGAATGAAACAGTATTGGATCATAACCCAAAGTATAAAATAAATACCCATGAGTCCATACTGACATAAATAAATAATTGATAAATAAGTAAGTGGGGGAGAAGAGTAAATCTCTTGTGCAGAATTCCAAATAGATTCTGTAGACTTGAGCAGGTGGAGCATGACTCCCCACCCCTTAAGTGTGGACCATGCACAACAATCTTCTTCCAAGAAGGACAATATGGAGAGAGGGAGAACGTCACTATATAGTGAGAAACCTGATCAACAGCCCTCAGCCAGGTGACCAGGGTCAGCATTATGGTGACAGGTCATGTTGTAGTGTGTGCCTTGATAGGATGTGATGATGAGGGCACATCATCTCTGTGGTCTCACTCCCAGCAGTCCACAACCCCTGCTCCTACCCATGAGGACATCATGAGCACATTCCAATCTTGGGACATCCTAAAAAATGCCTGACTGGTCCTTGCAACTGTCAAGGCCATCAAAAACAAGAAAAGTCTGAGAAGCTCACAGCCAAGGGGAGCCTGAGGAGACCTGACAACTAAAGGTTACATGTCCCAGATGGGATCCTGGGAGGAAAAGGACACTAGGTGAAAACTGAGGAAATCTATGGCATAGACTTCAGTTGATTATCATTTTAAATTTATTTTCATGTGTCAGTGCTGGCGCCGTAACTGTGCCCGTGTGCCACACTGACATGGGATGTCACTAAAGGGGAGGCTGGGTGCAAGGCACATGGGAATGCGTGGTACTATCTCTGCTCTTTTCCTGTAAACCTAAAAGTGCTCTAACATAAAGTTCACGCGTGGGATGTCACTAAAGGGGAGGCTGGGTGCAAGGCACATGGGAACGCGTGGTACTATCTCTGCTCTTTTCCTGTAAACCTAAAAGTGCTCTAACATAAAGTTCACGCAAACAGCTCCCCTCAGTGCCAAGATGCACCTGAGGAGGGATGGTGACTCTGGCTGACAGGTGGCTCTCGGGGCTGCAACTGGCCAGGGACTTCCTTCATGCAGGAGGAGCCCGGGACAGCCGGGCAGTGAGTGGCTGGCTGGGCACATTTCTCCTGGGGCCTGGCAGCCCTGCTGCTTACGCAGCAACCTCCCTGCTGGGAGCCCCAAGCACATTTTTCAGATGAGAAAGTAAAAACAGGGGAAGGATACTTGACCAGGGTCACATTTTTGCTCGAGACCCAGCAACGGAATATGCATCGTTGGCTCTGCTCAGCCCTCACATCTCAGCTCTGGGGGGCTGCTGCTTATCTGGATCACATATTCTCAGGAGCCAGCCGGGGCCACTTGCTCTGCAGCACTTCACCCGCCAGGCCCGGGTCTGGGTGGCCAGGTCCGTGAAAGGGAGGGGCCCCAGATCTGGCAGCGCGTGCAGCCCCTGCCTTCTCCTCAGACAGAAATTCAGAGAGAGAGAGAGAGAGAATTATCATCATTTTTTGGGTGGCTGGCTGGCATGGGGATCTGAACCCTTGACCTTGGTATTATAACATTAGCACTCTAACCAACTGAGATGACCAGCCAGCCCAAGAATTATTTTTAAAAGGGCAAAATGAGAGATGACACAAATAAATGAGGAAGGTCCAGTTGCTGTGACAGTACAGAAAGCCCCTGACTCCTGCCATCTGTCCCCTGAAGCCTCCCCCACCTCAGCCCAAAAGGCCTCCTGCAGGCAGACCTGGGTCGGATGCCTCCCCAGACTCAAGCCTCAATTTCCTTTTACGGAAATAACAGCCCAGGAAGAGCAGAGAGCTGAGCCGTCACCCAAGGCAAACAGAGGAGCTTTCTGGGAGACAGGCCCGGGGCAGCAGCTTATCTTGGCAGATGGGGACAAGGACAGGGACGTGCACATCACATCTTCAGGACACATGGGACCAGTGACTGGCCAACGGCCCACCTGGTGCTGGTGGGTCTGGAGGGAGCACTTTAGTGCATCTGTGAGGGGGTCACATGCAGGGGACAGACCTCACCCCAATACTGGGGGGTTGGAGGGTCAGTGCTGGCCAGGCCCAGACCCAGGTCAGCTGGCATGACCACTCACACCCACGGGGAGCAGAAATTCACCACTACCAGCTCTCAGAAAGGGGCAGGGCAGGGGTCTCTGACCCTCAACAGTGACAGGGGACCCCATCTCTTCCCTGAGGACATTGGGAAAATAAATTGTGTCCAGTGCTCTGGCCGAGGCTGAGCAAGGGCCTCCTATGCAGAGTCCTCAGGAGAGCAGCCACACTCAGGTTGGTCCCTGGTCCAGCCCTCTCCAGGACCGGCACGTGGTGCAGCTCCCACCCCGAGAGTCCAGGCTCAGAGCTCTGGGCAGCTGAGGCCTGCAGGTGTGGGTTCCCCACACACTCACTGGGCGGTTGACACATGCGGTTGTCCAGGCGCTGGGACTGCAGGAGCACCTGCCCTAGTGTGGCTAACCCTCCGAGGGGCAGCAGCAGCAACAGAATGAGGAACTACATGAGGAGCAAGGACAGGCAGACAGGGCAGCCAGTGCGGCCAACTGAGGAGGGGTGCTGCCAGAGGAGCCCAGAGGCTGCACTCAGGGAGGCACAAGCCGAGGCCTGCAGCCCCAGCTGGGCACGTGGTGGCAGATGTGGCCATGGCAGGGTGCTGCTGCAGGAGTGGGCAGCAGCAATGGGATCATGGGGAGCCATAGCCAATCAGAAGAGGCATGCTGGCAGTGCCACGAGGCCATTCCCTCCCCAAGCGTCCACTGACAGAGCCACCACCAGCCTTGTGGGCTCCACCCAGGGACTGAGGGCTCTTGTTTCAAGACCCGGCTTGCCAGCCTCTGCCAGGTCAGTCACCACCTTGGCCCTCCCCACTTCCTTTGGATACCGGAAGAGCCAGCCTGTCCTGGACACTCACCCTCTGGCTGGCCGCTGACTGCCAGCCTTCAGCTCCAGCACCTTGGGCAGGGCGTCCCTCAGGGGCTGCAGGTCCCCCACCACTGCCGTGGCCCTCCGCCTCTGCTCCTCCCTGCGCTTCTGCTCAGCCAGCTTTATGGCTTCAATCTCTGAGGAAGGGGGACAGGGGTTAGAGCAAGAAGCAAAAGCCAAATCACTAGCACACGGCCTAGAGCCCCCTCAGCAGCACACAATGGACAAGCCCATAGGGGTGCTCGTCCACCAGAGCCCAGACATCAGCCCTGCCTCCACCCCAGGCAGGCTGTTCCCTATTTCCTGCTGTCACCTCTATGCCACCTGGGATGCCAGGGGGCGGCCAGCTCCAAATTATTTCCCCCCTTAATCACAGAGGCACACTGTCTAATTACAGGGTTGATTATGAGGCATTGCAGGCATGAATGCTGTTTCTTCTGCAAAGGGACCCTGGCACAGTGGCCTGGGGACAGTGGGGTGGGTGGAGGTGGCCACGTGCAGGCACAGAAGGTGGTGAAGGGGGAATGAGCAAGAACAGGACTTTGACTTAAACTGAGCAGAGCCCTCTTAAAAGAGCCTTAAAACAGGACTTTGACTTAAACTGAGCAGAGCCCAACTTAAAGTTGCTCACTGGGCATCAGATGCACCTCTGTTCCCCGCCACCTGGAGAAGATCACGATGGGAGAAAGTAGGTCCCCACAGGGGGCAGCGGGATGGGAGGGGAGCAACTGGGTCATGTGGCACTAATACAAAATACTGCAGGGCCCATGGCCCAGGCGGGTGGTGCCAGGAGAGGGACAGGGCCGGGGGCATGGGGGACGTGGGAGGCCGGGCAGGCAGCAGACAGGGCCACATAGAGAAGGGATTCCAACAGGGCCAGGATGGGGGAGATCCTCAGGATCCTGGGATGCCTGAGGATTCGATTTTCATTTAAGTGTATTTATCTCAAAATTGGTAATTAGACACGTGTCCAAATGCACAATTTGTCTGAACATGGCTTGTGGGAAACATGTAGATCTTGGACAAAGCCCTGCTCTCCCCAGGGCAACAGGGCAGGACAAAGCCCGCAGTCCAAACCCCTTGTGGCGCAGGGCGGGGGTGCAGCAGGTTTCCCCGGGCAGGCAGCAGCCAGCTCCTCTCCAATCCTGCTTCCTACCAGCAAGGTCTGAGAGGCCCACCCCAAGTGGTATAGGTAGGGACACTACCCACCTGGGCCCTGGGTAGCCAGGATTTGTTGACCTCATCCCAAACTGTTGACAAAGACCAGGGGACAAAGACCACCCTTCCTTCTAGGTCTTCAGCATCCAATGAGGGCAGAACTGGAACCTGTGCACAGATCCCCACTCCGTCCCCTCAACAGCCTTGGGGGTTGTTAAGGCTCACAAGTTGACAAGTCAGTACTTTTCAACCCTGCCTGGAATATCTCAAACAACTTACTCAGCACCTCATCAAAACCAGAGCTGAAGCACGCTGGAGGGCTGAGCCAGCCCTGGGTGGGGCTGGGGCAGAGGAAAGAAGGGGCGCTGGGCTGCTCCAGGATGGGGAGAGGCCCCAGGGCAGCTCGTACATAGGCTGGCAGACCGGGGACTGAGGGTAGAGAAGCAGAGGGCTCTGCTCCTATGAAGACACAAGAGCCCAAACGCCAACAGTCAAAGCCATAAGTGCTTTAAAAGAGCAACATGCAAGGATGGCTCGATGTTAGGAAGTGAGTCAGCATGACCCACTGCAGGGGTTGCTTAAAAGGTGAAAAGCCTACAATCAGTACAGGAGTGCCAAAAAAGGTTTGATAAAATCCACTACGTACTCACAATAAAAATGACTATGGAACCACAAACAGAAGCAAGGTCCTTGACAGAAAACACCTCCCAGAAACCTATAATGAGTATCATACTTGGTGGCAGAACATGAGGCACTCAATTACAAAGTCAGAACAAGAAGAGGGTGACTGCAATCTCATGACAATCCCAGCTGGTAGACCCGATGTGAGAGACACACAAACAGACACAGACAGACATGGAGGGCCACGTAGGGCGTGTGCAAGCCACCTTGTCTGCAGCAGCCACGCCAGCTACTGAGCAAACATGAGATGAGCAGGAGAGCTCAGCTCTTCCCATGAATCCACACATCTGATACAGCCTCAATCAAAATTTAAACAGTTTTTTTTTTTTTTTTGTCTTTTTCATGACCGGTAAGGGGATCGCAACCCTTGGCTTGGTGTCTCCCGCACTGCGCTCAGCCAGTGAGCGCACCGGCCACTCCTATATAGGATCCGAACCCGCGGCGGGAGCGTTGCTGCGCTCCCAGCAAAGGGCACTCTCCCAAGTGCACCACGGGCCAGCCCTTAAACAGGTTTTTAACTGAACCTGTGAAGCCAATTCTAAACCTTATCTCTCAAAAAAGACTAAATGCATAAGAATAGTCAAAACAGTTTTTAAAAAAGAACAAGAGAGTAGAACTACTGGATATTAAAGCAAATTATGGAACAGAAATGGTAACCATGTGGCAAAGAGAAGGAGCCACACAGAGGCATGCCTCCAGGAAGTCCTGCGTCAGGAAAGCAGCCCTGTAAACGACCTGGCCGTCCTTCTGGAAAAAAACGGGATCCCTCTTTCACTCATGCTATTTCTAAAAATTAATTACCAATGAATTAAATATTACAAATAAAGAAAGAGAAATCAAAGGCCAATTCCATTAGAAATCAAGGAAAAGAAAATTACAACTACAAAATACAGAACTTCACCTCCCAGATTGGCAAACTGAAAAACGTTTATTTATTTATTTATTTTTTAAAAAGATGACCGGTAAGGGGATTTTAACCCTTGACTTGGTGTTGTCAGCACCATGCTCGGCCAGTTAGCGAACCAGCCATCCCTATATGGGGTCCGAACCCGTGGCCTTGGTGTTATCAGCACCGCACTCTCCCGAGTGAGCCACAGGCCGGCCCACATACATATTTTCTTAATGGAAGAGAGGATTACTCCTGAATGTTTACTGTACAACATTTCTGACACACCCCAAGTTAAATTCACACATTCACATTCCTGCCTGATGACTGTTGGCATTTAAGTTTTTAACCCATATTATAGAGTGCTTTGGGGGAACGGATCAGGATGGCAAAGGGTTTCAAAAGCAAGAATACTGAAAATACTGGGATATGTAGTTGGCAAAGGGGAATCCTAGAGGGTCAGCATAATCTTCCCACAACTGATGAACTGCTAGAACAGGAAAGAACTTTTTCTATATGGTTCTATAGGACTGATAAAGAAAAAAGTTGTAGGGAGACATATTTCGGGTGTATTAAATAGCACGGAAAACCACAGGATACAGCGAGTTCTCGATCCCTGGACATGTGCAAGCAGACTTTCTAAGAACCCCTAGAGACTCTAATTTTCTTTTTAGCCTGAAGTGTATGTGATTTTTAAATAGTAGCAGACATGCTGAGGACAGTGATTTTTTCCCCCCTCAATTCTAAGAGTAAAGAGATGTGCGGAAGGGAAAATACAGACAGAATGAAGGTGAGCAAGAGTTTTGAACACCAGATATTGTTTGGAGCCAGTGGGAGACAAGGAAGTCCTAACAATTTTAGAGGCACGTGAGGCCTTTTGAGTCTTATTAAGCTTTGAGCTCTGGAGATTAGAGCAAGCGGGAAATAAATAGATAAATCTACCTATTGATAATGATCTGGTTCTTGGTATAGTGAGTTCAAGAATGTTTATTTTCAAAGAAGTGAAAAAAATTCCATTTCCAGAAGCATCAAAAACTATAAAATACTTAGGAATAAGCTTATCCAAAAAAAAGTAAGACCTCTACACTAAAAACTACACAACACTAATGAATGAAATTAAAGAAAATCTAAATAGATAGTGAAATACATACCACGTTCATGAATTTGAAGATTCAATATTGTTAAGATGGCAATTCTCTCAAAACTGATCTATAGATCTACTGCAATCCCAGTCATAGTTCCACTAGGTTTTTATGGTTGTTTTTAAAGAAATTGACAGCTAGTGATAAAATTTATATGGAAATGCCAAAGACCTAGACCATCCAAACAATCTTAAGATAGAACAAACAAGATGTAGGACTCAGGTCACCAGCTTCTGGACTTACTCTGAAGCTACAGTAATCGAGACAGTGTGGTACTTGCTAAGTCACAGCAAATAGATCAATGGAACAGAAGAGAGCCCAGAAACAGACCCACACTTAGGAGAGACCATCTGACTTTACACAAAGGCACCAAAATAGTCCAATGAGAAAAGAAAAGTCTTCAGAGCAAATGGTGCTGAAACAACTGAATGTCCATAGTGAAAGAAAAAAAGGACCCTGACCATGAACTCACACCACAGACAACATGAGTTAAAGATGGATCAGAAACCTAAATAAGAAAACTAAAACTTTAAAGTTTTTGGAAGAAAACAGGAAAATATCTTCATGGCTTGGGATTAGGCAAACTTCTCTTAGTACACACACACAATAACCATATATAATTATAAATCAAACTTCTCAAAAATCCCACTTCTGCTCACCAAAAAAAATCATTAAGAAAATAACAGATCACAGTCTGGGAGAAAATATGTGCAAAACATATAGCAGACCAAGGACTGGTCTGCAGGACACATGAAGAATTCTCAGAGCTCAATAAGAAAAAGGCAAAGAACCACCTGAAAAGCGGACTGCACTGAGGACAGAGCATGAACGGGCAGCACTACATGACAATGCTCTTCTGTGGCAACAACGGTGGCTGCCACGAGAGCGCTTCACAGTCACAAATGGCTGAGGCCAAAGAGCCTCACACCACACGCACTGGCAGAGCTGCAGAGTGACAGCTCCCATGCACAGCTGGTGCTAGCGCCACATGCAGCCTCTTGAAAGCAACGTCTGGCCGTTGCTTATGGAACTAAACATACACCTACCCTATGACCCGGCGTTCCACTCCTAAGTACTCACCCAAGAGAAAGGAAAACACGTCCACAGGAAGACTTGTGGGGAGTGCTCATAGCTGCCTTATTCTCCTAGTAGCTAAAACCACAGAATGGCCAGGTGTGCACCCACAGGAGAAGGGACGGCAGACAGCGGGCACACCCAGAGAGGCTCCTCAGCGGGGAAAGACATGGGCCACTGCTGTGTGATGCCGGCTGTGTTTCAAAATCACGACATGAGCACAAGAAGCCAGAAACAGAAAAAGTATATCCTACATGACTCGGGGAAAGACATGGGCCACTGCTGTGTGATGCCGGCTGCATTTCAAAATCACGACATGAGCACAAGAAGCCAGAAACAGAAAAAGTATATCCTACATGACTCTGTGTACATGAAGCCTAGAGCAGAAAAACCTGAACTATGAGCAAACAAAGTCAGACAGTGGTTTTTACCAATGGGGTAGTCAGGGGTGGGAACTGACCACGAAGATTCCAGGCTGATGGTCTGTACCTTGAAAGGAATTTCGGCTACACAGGCATATGTGTTTGTCAGAAGTCACTAAATGGCACACTTAAGATTCACATTTTATTGAATGTGAACACTGTCTTCAAAATAGAAAGAAAAAAACCACAAACACATACTGAACTACAGCAGAATTAATTACTTGGGGAAAGTATACCGATGTCTGCAACTTGCTCTGGAACGCATAAAAAGTGCTGGATGGATAAACGGAAAGGAGCACATAAATGAACAGTGACGTAATAAAGAAGTGGTCACTGTAAAATTCTTCCTACTTCCCAAATGAAATTTCTCATAATAAAATATTAAGTAAAAACAACTTAAGAGGTATAGCTAAGGCTGTACTCAGAAGCCAACCTATAGCCTTTCATTCCTAAAAAAAATAATGTGAAAATAGATGAGCTAAATAATGCAAACAAACCTAGAGAAAGCCAGGATAAGGAATTAATAAAACAGAAGCTAAAAACTCAGAAAACAAAAGAGTAGAATTGATCGTTACATGTAAGAATTAATTCCTGGAATGGAAGAGACAAAACTTGTTAACTCATCAGCAGTGAAGTGGAGACACAAGTAAAGAATGATAAAGAAAACGTACAAGACACATAACAATGAGGAAGCAGCACATAAGCCTTTGCTAATAGAAACTGAGATTTGATAGGTCAGATCATTTCATGATAAAACATCGTGGCCAAAGTTGACTCAAACAGTAAGAAAAAAAAGACCAGACACCATGAAAGAAAATGTACATGTCTTCAAAGAATCAGAGCCCAGAAATGTCTGGATCTGAGCGGTCCTGGTCCATTAACTTCTCCAGACCCACTTTACAAAGCACACTTTGCACAGCTCTATGAGAGGAACAGTGCACGAGAAAACGGCCTGGCTGGTTAGCTCAGTTGGTCAGCATGCAGCATTATGGCCTAAAGGCCACAGGCTCAGACTTATGCCAGCCAGCTGCCCTCCAAACAAACAAATAAACACTGTTGGCTGGCTGTCTTGGCACAGTTGGTTAGAGAGCAGCCTTATAACCCCAAGGTCACAGATTCAGATCCCTGTATCGGCCAGCTGCCAAAAAACAAACAAAAAAAGAAAACAGAGGAGCAAATAATTTCTTAGGAAATATCCAAAAAGTGACAAAAAACATAAAATTAATGATCATGGAAGAAACTGACAAATTTCTCTAAGTATTATCCTCTGAAAAACCTTCAAGGAAAAAATAATGCAAATAATATTAACATGTGAGAACATAAAGAAGAAAATATTCCAAAGTAATTTTATAGAAGTCAGCAAAATCACATTAAGAAAAATTACAAAACGACCTCAACAAGAAAATCTCTAGGAAAACGTTAGCACATATTCAGCATCACAGAAAACAACTAGATGTACTGAGACATGGTGACTGAATAGGGCAGTGGGGTGACTGCAGCCGCTGTGGGCACCGGCTGCAGGCGCCTGGGAAGCCACCTCCCCCACAGGGGCTGGGAACAGGGACCACCGGCTCCAGACATGTGGGCAGGTGCCCAGGAGCCCCAACCCTGCAGAGACCCACACAGACACACGCCTGACCCACAAGGTAGCTCACATTTACTGTAGGGATTTCTGAGGCATAAAAGACTCAAACAAGCCTGTGTTACTTTTGTAAAATTTTCATCATGGGAACCAAAAATAGACCACTTTTACAAACAAGGAGCCGAGAACAGCAGCTCCTTGAAACCATGTTCTACAGAAAGAGCAAGCCTGGCTCTGCAGGTGCCCACACAGGTAGGTTGGCAGCATCACCCACTCCAGGGATAGACCACCTTGGCCAAGCTGGTGAGGCTCTCCCAGGAACCCCTGCGCCTCATTCATCACTGGGCCACTGTGGGCAGCCTGCAGAGGGTTCCACACAGTCCCCAGGGGCACCTGGCCAGTGTGATACAGCAGCCTGGGGGACCCTGTGAGGGAGGCCATGTGGCTCCCAGGACATGAGGGCACGGACTTACTCTGCAGCCACCGCTCACGCCTCAGCTTCAGCTTCTCCTTCTTGGGCAAAACAGCCCTCACCTCAGCACCTGAAGACAGAGAACACACGGGGTAAGTAAAGGGTGTCCAGATGGCATTTCTGCTCAAACAGGACTAAAGCCTGGAGCTCCCCTCCCCCACAGAGCCTGAGAACGGGGCTCAGGCAGATTCTGACTCCATTGGGGCAGTGCCACCCAGGCTTGGGCCTCCGTGCCTCATGGCAGCTTGTCTGTGCATGGGTGGGGTAGCCAGTCCTAGCCTCTCAGCCTCCACGTGCAGCATGGGGGACCCTCACCATGCATGTCAGCACGTCAGAGGCTCTCTAAGCACCAGTGTCCCTCTAAAGCAATGTCCTGGTCACTTACCACTGGGCTGTCCTAAAAAGTCCAGGCAGACGTTTACCAGGAAGGAGCCATCCCACCCATTCCAGGGATGACCTTCAGGACTGGCTGTCGCCTAACTCTGCAGCCGAGAAATGGCCCCACAGCTTGCAAGGGGACGTGACAGAGCAACAGCCCACAGGCTCCAAGGAGGTGCTGCTCAAGAGCCTTGTGCTCTTCCAAGGCGATGGGAAGTCAGCCCGGCACAAGTTTCTGCATGCTGCCACACCTCAGTGACATACACACGGAGGACCAGAGGACCACCATCCCCTGGATGCCCCAGAGCACCAAGGTTCTGGGGACACCACCTAGGAAAGCACTCAACCAAGGCCAAGTCCCCAACACAGGGAAGACGATGAGGACATCCCAGGGATAAGGGAGCTCTCCGCACTGAGGTGGCCAGGCCACTGCTAGACACCCTCACCATCAGGGATCTGCATCCCTGTCCTGTGCCCACTGGCCCCATCCAGCCTCTGGGGGACACTGAGAGCACTCAGTTCTCATCCCAAGGGACACCCATCCTTCAGCCAGCAAAGACCACTGCTGAGTCCCTTTCTGTGACCCAGGCTGGATATGCCAGCATCTGCCTCTGCTGGGGGCGGGGGTGGGGCAGGGTGGGAAGCATCCAGAACAGGACCACCATCCCAGGTCTGAACCATCCCCAACCATGGCCCCAGGCTATCCCGGGGACCCTGGGTGTCCCTCATCTCATGTGCCCTATTGCGACAGACATGGGTTCTGGACTGCCTGTCCCAGGACAAGGCAGGAGCAAGAACGGGAAGCTCTTGGCCCCTGCATGACCCTGCACCCCGTGAGGCAGACCCTTGAGAAGTGGAGATGGCTCCCTCCTGCACTGCTTAAAATCACAAAAACACAACACAGGAAACGGTCGCTGTGGGGTTCCTGGGTGTGCACTGAGTGCTTTGTGAGACTCATGCAGATAAAGGGGACAGGATGGGTCCAAGGGCCTCCCCCCAGGAACAGATCAGGGTGTCACCAGGCCCAGTGCCCAGCTGTCACATGCTCCTGCCTTCTGCCAAGCTCACGCAAGCTCTGGGCACTGTGAGACATGTGACCACCTTAGGCTGGCCCTGCTCAGTGTAAGTTATCACTCTAAAAGGACAACAGATGTTGAGTGCACACCGCCCACTGCATAGACTGCACACTGCCCACTGCATAGACTACACTAACCACAAAGACTGCATAGCACCCACTGCACAGACTGCACACCAGCCACTGCACAGACTGGACACCACTCACTGTGTAGACTGCATACCACCTGCATCAGGGCACGCCTGCACACGGATAGTGTCCCTGAGCTGAGCAGGTCACCCAAGCTGGGCTGCCCTATGAGGGAGCATTTAAGGAAATGAGAAGTTTTGCATGAACCAGGACAAAGGAGACAGAAAGAAGCCCCTGGACAGGGTATGGGAGGGGAGAAACGGAGGGAGAATGGCACTCCCCAGACGGTGCAGCCTGCTGGGGAGCACACAGCGTGGGGGCTGTTCCAGTTGTGGTTTTATGGTTTGGACAGTTCCCACACTCACCAGGTGGAGGAAGAAATTCCCCCAAGGTTGGTCAGTGCCCAAGAACTCCTCCCAAGGCTAGGGTGGCCCACATGGGGCAACAGCTGGACACTGAAGGTCAACCACAGACATTTGCTCAGGTGAGAGCGGATCCTGGGATCAACTTCCTCAGGCAAGACTGGGTGTGATTCAATCAAGAATCATGAAGTTTTGACGCAAAAAAATGAAACGTTTGACAGCCCTGCTCCCGCCCTGCTCCCGCCTGCTGGGGGTCCTGCAGTGCACAAGGACACCGCAGGGCAGATGTTGCCTCCTCCTCCCCAGGTGCTCAGGATTCTGCCACCTCCTGCCCTTTTCCTATCGCATCCACATAATCTGTGCCTCACCCACTTCTCCTCCATTTATGGTTTACTATTTTTTCCAAATGAACCAGCTCCTGCTCTGTTTGTTACGTCTACCCTTCCCTTGTTCTTGAGCTCGAATATGCCCTGACCTCTGCTGCATTCTTCCCGCTTTCTCTGTGTTCCGATCTTTGACTTCCCCATTGCTGTCTCGTCCTCTCTGTCGGGAACATGTACTTCTTACACGATGGACTTCCGTGCACTACTTCAGCTCATCACCTGAGTGGGGTCACGGTGGCGCTTCTCCCGTGTTCCACGCCAGGCATGAGCTCCTTCCTATCTTGGTTCCCCCCAACTGGAGCTGCTGGAGACTGGTGGGCCCTGGTGAGCAGAGGGTGTGGTCTGTGTCCTTCGTGCCCAACATGTGGCCAGCTCGTCAAGAGCATTTGAGTAATCTAAAATTTTATCTTTGGGGAATTATATTTGAAGTATGTTAATCAGATTTATTGTACTAAGTTTGTTCTTTAGGCCTGTAAACATCTTTCCCCTTTTTTGCTTATTTAATCCATCAATGACTGATAAAGAGGAGCTGAAGGGCTGTCCTCAAAGCCAACAGACTCCCAGTTCACAGGGCAGGCTGTCAGCCACCCTGGCCAGCCAGGAGCCCAGCAGTAACTTAGCAGAGCCGGGACCACACAGGCAGTTCCCCAGAGACCTTGGCCAGAGGGCTGCATATCCCTGCATGTGGGGTCAGAACATGCTGGACAATACATCCCATCTGAAGGCAGAGGGAGGCAGCTTCGCCTCCTCAGGTAGACGGTTCCTTCCGGTTCCCAGTCAGGGTTTGCCCGACACCCTGACCAGCCCTCACTGTGGACATGGGAGGCAAGAGGACGAGGGTCACTCTGAGACAGGTTGAATGGCAGGCAAAGCAAGGAGCCTGGCAATGCCCCAGGAAGAGCCAATGCTGGCCAGAAGCCATCCTGCTGACCCCTGAATCTGGGCATGCTGAACCTTAACTCACAGTTCCTAACGTGCTTGGAGTTCCTCTGCGCAGGTGCTGTGTGAAGTGGAGCTCTCAGGTTGGTGTAAAGTCTGAGCAAGACTGAATCCACCAGCATGAGAAGAAAGACCCACTTCTTTTGGGCAGAAGCTTCTCCAGGCCGCATCTGTCCACCCCCACCTGCCAGCAGGGGGCATGCCGGGGCATGCAGTGTGGGTGCAGTGTGTGGTGTGGGCACAAGGCCTGCCTGGGCCTCCTCCTGTCCTGGAACACCTCGTCATCAGAACGCAGGCCACCAGCTCCCCACCCACAGCTCCTGGTGCTTCCCCCAGCTCCCTGTCCCATCTCATGTGGGGTGACCTCACCTGGCCCACTTCTGTGGCCTCCCCCCTCAAGAGCCAGTCCTTACCCCACCCCACGGCATATCTGTACTTCCTCACTGCTGTGGGCTGAAGCATGTCCCCTCTAAATCCAAATGCTGAAGTCATGACCCCCAGAACCTCAGAATGTGTCTGTATTTGGAGATAGGGTCTTAAAAGAGGTGATGAAATTAAAATGAGGTCCTAAGTCATCAGATCATATACCTTAACTATATAATCTTTAAGGGTCAAACATAATGTAAAAAAATTTTTTAAGGAAAAATGAGGTCACTAAGGGCAGGCCCCAATCCAGTCTGACGGTGTCCTTATTAGAAGAGGAGATCAGGACACAGACACACACAGAGGGACGACCCTCTGAGGACACAGGGAGAAGATGCCACTTGCAGCCCAGGAGAGGGGCCTTGGAAGGAACCAGCCCTGCCTCATCTTGATCCCGGACTTCCAGCCTCTAGGGTTGTGAGAAAATCAACGTCTGTTGTTGACATCACCCAGTCTAAGGCCCTGTATCATGGCAGCCCAAGCTGTCTGACACACCCACCTTCCCAGCAACAACGCAGCACACTATGGTGCCTGCCACCAGCCAGGCACAGGCCTCGCACCCTATGGAAACAGGCCATCCACAAACCGCGCCTGCTGACTCTCCATGAGGGACAACAAGCAAGTTTACAGGTGCCAAAGGCCCCATCACCAGTCAACCCGATCACCTATGAGGTCTCTGAAGACACTCAGGAGCACCGCTGGTTACATCAATCAGCCCCAGTTTACAGATGAGAAAACCAAGGCTCACCCAGGTTGAGGGGACAGTAACTGGCCCAGGGTCATGGGGAACTGCTGAGGCCCCATATTCAAGGACCCACTGTGGCCTCAAGTTGTGCTGTGCTGACCCTTCACCTGCGCCCCAGGGACCGCACAGCTGAAGGATTCTGGAGACATGGGATTTGGGAGTTTATCACCCAAAGTAAACCATGAGCCAAGGTGCAGACATAGGTATAGCTTCTCAGAGTACCAAGAAAACACACATCCAGGGCATGGGGCTTCCCGGACCGCCAGGACTGCCCTGCTGCTGACTTGTGGGCCTGGAACATGGCCGCCAGTCTTGGGGTGTGGTGACATCAGTCAGGCCTGCTCCAAATTAACCAGAAGCTGACCAACAGCCAGACAAAGATGGTCAACTTGTGCCAACAGAACACCATGTGGACACAGCCACACCAGGCGGCCCTGCAGAGGCATGGGCAGTGCCAGCTGGCGCTTCACACACCTCTGCAGCACCTCGTCTCTGAGGACCACCAGTTCAGATAGTGCCCAGATGGGATAGAGCCAGCCAGAAGGGACACTGCTCTTGACAGGACACAAGGACATGGGGTAGGGACCACACACTGGTCAGCAGGAATTGGGGATGAGGAAGGAGGGGCCCTCCCAG